AGTTGGAATGGCAACATCCTTCTCTAAATTTTACTCTCGGGTGGCTTGCCACAGGACGCATCAACTTGGAAGGGCAACTTCCATCTAAATTCTAGTATACATACGCTAGCCTTGTGCATGTGGACGTTTGGTGGTGACCGCCCCCGGCCCGACAACCGGCGCCAACGGCCCCAGCATCCAGCAATGCCCGCCGATCCCAAGGTCGACCGGTCAGCGGTCACCCGCCACCGGCCACCGCTCAGTGGCCTGCCACTGGTGACCAGCCGGTCGCTCGCCACCGGCCACGGTCAGTCACCGGCCACCGCCCAAGGTCACCCGTCACCGGACCGGTCACCGGCCACCGCCCAAGTCACAGGTCACCGGCCGTTCATCGGTCTTGTCACGGGCCCGGTCCGGCCCGGTCCCGTCTCCGTTCCGGTCTCCGGCCCGGTCTCCGGCCTGGTCACCGGTCCGGTCAACGGCCCGGCCCGGTCTCCGGTCCGGTCTCCCGCCCGGTCTCCGGCCCGGTCTCCGGTCCGGTCTCCGGCCCGGCCCGGTCCCGGCCAGGTCACCGGTCCGGTCACCGGCCCGGTCACGGTCCGGTCTCCGGTCCGGTCTCCGGCCCGGTCACCGGTCACCGACAAAAACAGTATTTTCTCGCAAGACAACACAGCGTGTGCAAACAAAAATGGAAACAGGTCTTCTTTTGTTTCTTACCAGGCAAGCAAGAGGCTGCGCCTGAAACCGTTTGATGGAAGTGCAGGATTCGAGTTTTTTTTATTTGTGGTGTTGTATGAGTCGACTTGAAGAGCTACACGCCCATCAACCACTCAGTGAGGCCAGCGGTCTCCCCCAAAAGGTTTGGATCCGAAGCGTCAGCAAGGCCCGACAACCAATCTCTGTAAGCTCCGAAGAGATCCGAAAGGTGGGGAGTGGCAAAGGGCATCGCTACTAGTAACAAAGGGCATTTCTACTGGGAGCGATCGGACGCTACTAGTAGCTCCTGGCCTCACTACTAGGGTCAAGAAGCTACTAGGAACAAAGGGCATCGCTTCTGGGATGGTGGGATGTTGGAGCATAGATTGCTGAAAAAGGTTCAAACCCAAGTTGACGCATGATTGCGACGGAAAGGATTTGGAACCTCACAAAAGGTCTTTCAATGTTTATAACGCCTGCAATTCTGTAATAGAGCATGCAAGGAATCCATGAAACAGCAGGTTGGTACTCCAAGAAATACGAAGACTTATAGTCTTTGTTGAAAGTGATTTTGGGGCATTAACGTTTGGGGAGCCTGAAGGGTCCAAGCGAGACCTGTATCAGACTTCATCACCCAAATCTTAGATGCACAAGGCTCATGCCAATGCAAAGAATCTGCAGGTATTGCTGGCTTACTGTGTTCAATTGCAATTTTGTCGACGTTGAGTGTTTTTGTCTTGGTGACAGGAGTGTACGAAGCTGACCAAGGGGCAGTGTCTCGGATGTTGACCTGCTTACGAAGCTTGAAAATCGTGCCTTCAAAGAGCAAATAGATTTCAAGATGACGTGCATCCAATGATCTTTCGTAGCGACTGACCAGTTTGGGGCTTTTGCAGCATCCTCTACGTTCGATGTGCTGTTGGTTCTTGAACGAATAGATCCAAGTTATTCCCTTGGTGCAGCATCTTCAAGATGCTGCACCAGGGGAATAACTTCTTGGGTGCTAGCTGCTCTCGGCTACAAGGGGAATGTGTTGTTTTTTTTGGAAGCGTTGCAGATATTGTGAGATTACAATGTAAACCAATCAATTCCAGGAGGCAAACTGTTTGAAACATGTCTTGCGTCATTGACACTGACACAGAATTCCGGTGAGGGAGTCATTTACACATGCAAACTAATGTCGTTATCTCTACATCCCTGCACAACTCTGCACGCACCAAAATTATGACCCTGAACATTTTGAACCACTCTTCCTATCTCTTCCTCCACACAAAAGCAACTTGACTTGATCTCCCAAGGCTCCCTCTGGAGTTGCTGACTCGGCGGCCAAAGCCACAGATCTTGCGGGCCTTGCGTGTGCGCATTCTGTGTGCCGATCAAGCCGCGTGGCCTGCAGATCGCGTGCGGCCTGCGCAGACCGCGGCAGAAAAGCAATGGAACAGCGGTTTTAGTGGAGGAGGCATTTCTTCACCAATGGACCGTCCAAGAATTGCACAGGAACCATACAAGGACTTTCTTGCAATGAAACAAGGAGTCACAAGGGCACAGCTCGCACAAAGAACATTTGGAGGGACAAGGCTGTTTGGGCAACCCTCCAAAAGTAGTTAAGTTATATATACACCAATGCAAATGGCAGTACACTGTTCCTCAGTGGGACGCAGACCTTCGGTTTCACAAGCTGCACATCACGTGGTAGGGCCGCCACTCCACTTTTGCATCGGACGGCTCGACGACTCTTGAGGTGCGATTGGTCGGGTTGCTCTCACACTGGCTCTACTGGAAACTGCTGGGTCACCTCCATGACGGGCGGAGTTACTTGTGTGGGTCACGACCTTGGCGGCCCCAAGAGAACGACTTAGGGACTTGGTGGGAACATCCACTGTCGTCGCTTACCCCCTTGGTTGCATGGCATACCTTCATCATCCATTTTCTTGCATTTGTGTTTGTGCCATGCGGCTTTGGCCATATGGTCCTGTAGCGACATACTAGTTGGAGAGTTTTGCTTCAGGGTAAAAACATGTTGGGCCAAGTGCCATGGTTTGCGCAGCCTAGCTTCACCACAGCAGGGTTTCTCCTTGCAAAAGAAGTGTTATTCTAGGTGTTGATGCATGTGAGATCGGGTGAAATACGAGAAAGATTTGCATTTTGATCATTTTGGCAGGCGACACTTCCTGCAACTCTTAAACTCTTAGACTCTTACTTCTTTTTTGTTCTGTACTTTCCGCTTCCCACAGGAGCCATTTTCGCAGCTTCCAGAGACAAAGATGGAGGCGCTAGCAACTGGGCAAAACTCCCTGCCAGCCCAGAGGAAATGTATGGCTTTGTGGCATGCCGAGGTCATTGTTTTCTTTCCTCGTCTGGAGACACAGATGTATAGAATCGGTACATATAGAATCTTGCGTCAGAAGGGAGCACAAAAGCAACTGGGCCAGTCAGTTAAGGTGATCAGCGTCCAGGAGGTCTGGGCAGCCTTGATCCTGCCATTTCAAGAACCTTGGAATGGTGAAAGCGGACGAAAGCGGCTGTAAGCCTTGCGAGGGTGGGCGCCTGAAGGCCACAAGTTGTTCTGGTCGGCGTCCGAGGTTGGAATCCCATTGGAACGCCAGTGACATGAGAGAAGAGCACAGAAGTGGGTTCTTTCGATCGTTTTGTTGGGCAATAACCTGCACTAGGGCAATCCCAGAGATCGCACATCATTCAATATTTCGGACTGGTCTCAAGGTTCGTGTAGAAGCCGACTTTTTCTGGAACCCAATGCACCTAGGCAAGTTCTCCAATTCAGCAATTGTTTACCCATTGGAAGACCAGTTCCACGTCCAAGTCGTCCAAATGTCCAGTTGAGCTTGAGGAGACCCCTGTGGGGGTTGGCTTTGCCGTCCCGGCGCTTCTCCTGGCCACGAAGATGTTCCTTGGAGCAATTGGACAGGACTGGTGTCGGGGGCCATTGGCCAAACATGTGGACTGCTCTGAGGCGGATTTTTGACCTTGCAGCTCTGCTAGGAGAAAGGACGCTACTAGGGGCGCTCCTGGCCTTACTACTAGTAACAAGAAGCTACTAGGAACAAAGGGCATCGCTACCAGGAGCAAGGATGCTACAAGCTTTGATCCGTGCTGGAAACTCTTCGGCACTAGGCACTTGACATGCTTGACGGAGCTAGATCAGAACAAGCAAGAACAAGTTCGGCCACTTTGTGTTATCGTGCGGCACAGTATGGAACAGAGGAGTGAAAGCCCTTTTGCCTGAATATGATGTTGACGAAGCTGTTTGTGCCCTGTGATGTTCTCCTGATGGTACTGCCTTTGGTCCATGGGTCATCCGCTGTTCCTCCCTGGTCGAGTGAAGGCTGGTTGAAGAGATCTTCAAGAAGCAGTACCCAGCAGCTTGGCTCACTCCAAATAACTCACATGTTGCTCATGATATCATGGCTAGAGATGTCAAGAGTGGAGAATTGGCAAGTTGGGGAAAAAGAAAGCTTTCAAACACTTCCAAAGGCTTCTCACAACTTCTCACTACCAACATAATTTTAACCATTGCGTATAAACATCACACTTTTCCCTATATACCAGATGAGACATTAGTGTTTAGCTGTCAAGAAGTTCCGCCGGCTCACCACTAGAAGCTACTGAGGAACATGATTTAGTCAACGGTCCGTCCCATTTCGGTTCAATTCAGTCTTCCATTTCCAAAATAGTCTAAGTCTAAGCTCATTTGTAAAGGGCAACGGACTCTCCATGCTCTTCAGCTCTTCTACATGATTGACCAAAGAAGGCAAGATGGGCAGTTTTCAGAACAACCAGACAGGTCAGCGAATTCTGCATTAAATGACCAAGTGCATCTTCAGATTGCAATAGCTGGCACTTGCTACCTCAATGAACCACAGTTCAGTCTTTGGTTGATATAGAGTCTGATAGAGTGGACAGCTTAGCTTGCCACAGGCCACTCATCTCACCCTCTCCGACCCTCTCCGACCCTCTCCGACCCTCTCCGACCCTCTCCGCCTCCTTCATGAAGGATGTGTTTCGACCGGCCCCTTCCCAGCAGCACCTTTGGGAGGAGCCGGGGTGGTGACGAGTGGTGTGTGCAGGTGTTCAATGCTGGGATGCCAAACACGACAAGAAGATCTCTTAGAAGACCAACTCCCTGAGGTTATCCACTGGCGATGTGACCAAGGGCAGAATAGTCACCAGGAGGATAGATGCACTATGATGCACTGTTTGTAGAAAGGATCAGATAGCCTCAATTTTCCTCGGCAAACAAGTAGACCCGTTTGGCGTGCACTGTGACAGGCCACAGGCGCACTTATATAGCTCCTGGAATGACAGGATAAGTCTCATGTCAGCGGCAAAACATGTTTCGTGGAAAGGGGAACGATTCCAACAGCTTTACTACGGATTGTGCAAGACCAACAAGTTAAGTTTACTCGCCAAAAAACTCGCTAAAAGATGGTCCTAGCACAAGCAAGACCTTTGAGCCCTTGAGTGTTTCACTTAGGAGTCTTTCAGTGCATGGTCCCCTAATATATACTTCTTCTATCTAGTCTACAAAACGAAGACGTGACATGTGGTTGCAGAGGCACGGACTGAAGAACTGCCCACTAGAGCACGGGATGGCTCGTAGCCTTGCAACTTGCAGCCTTGGTTGGCTTTTTGAAGGTGGTGCACTTATTGCTGGACTCTCGTGCGAGGGATGTTGTGAGGCAAGGTTGAACGGCTTCGTGGAACAGCCACTTGGAACATGTGGGAGTGTTGTTCGACTTTGGCCCGGAACATGTTCGACGGTTTCACAGCCTTGCTTTGGCAGCTCGGAGTCACGCCAATTGAAAGTTGTACAATCACTGCTGGGCACCTGCAGCAAAGGATGCAATTCAACATTGCAACTGCTTTGCAGCACGTGAGAATAGTTGGAGAACTTGCGGTGACAAGATGGTACGTCACCGACTGGTGGGATGATGTGCTTTGGTTTCTGTTTCTGGGATCTTGATACCCACAGGACACACATGTTCTATCATTTTCTGATGAATGAAGAGAATGGACATCACCTGGTGGGAGCTTTGTTTCAGACTGACCAAGACGAGAGTGTACGGCTCATATTGTTTGGACGCACATACCCTGGAGTGCTGGAGCTCTGCCAAAATAATGCTGGTGCCTGCCTGGATCAATGTTATCCCGGTAGTGCTATTTGGAGGCCAGCTGCCCAGGCACCTGACACCTGATCAGTGTATGTTTACTCATCGCATGGAGCACAGAGACATACACGACCCATCAACGAACCAAAGGATGTCTGAATCTGTTTGGAATGTTTGGATAGATCGACCGATGCACTCAGCACTACAGACGTATACACACAGTCAGAGGGTCAGAGGGTCTTGGTATTTCCGTGAGATGTTTTGAGCTGTTCTGTGAGCCATAGAAGCAAGGACGCTACATGGTCTTCACGGGAGGAGCAACAAACTCTTCTTGTTTGTTCACTGTATAGTTTACATGCATACAGTATACACATGTAAATCTTGTGATGGATCATCAGCCCTAGACACGTTCTTTGCATCTCGCTGGTTTATCACCCTGTTCGCACGAAAGGAGATCAACATCATGTGCATGAAGCACCTGGACTCTGACTGCACCTTTGCCCACTTCGCTGCCTTGGACCTTCAAGTGGAAGGCAGCAAACTTTGGCGAAAGCTGCAGGTGCGCGGGTGACGCGGAGTCGCATTTGGTGTGTCTCAATGATGTCAACAGTGAAATGATCGTGAAGGTAATGCCAATTAGGAATTGCAGGCATTCAAGTCTACGATGACCAAACAGGCTTTTCAGGTTGAGTGTGAGTGAATGGAGCAGTGGGAGACAAATCACAGGTGAAAAATGGTTCATTAATTAATCAATTGACGTGTAGATTACACAGATCACAGCGAAACGATACAAGCAGTTCCGTAAAACGGAAGCCTTTGTTGAATAGACGTCATCCCGCACTTGCCAAAGCGGTGTTCGTGAAACGATCAATGCGACGGAAGGCGCGTGAAAAGTCAGTGGGACCTGGGGGCCTTCATTTGACAGTAGATCCTTGGCCCATCGCTGGTAGGTTGGAGGCCATCGCTCTTAGTAGCATCCTTGCTCCTAGTAGCGATGCCAGGAGCCCCCAGTAGCGTCCTTGCTAGGTTGGAGGCCATTCCGGCCATTCCTATTAGGTGACTGTCCTTGGTGTGTCAAGGCCTCGCTTGAGACCAAGCAGAGCTCAGTGGCTCGAGCACAGGCGGGGCAAGCTCGGCAGAGCAGTGCTAAACCGGCAACTCTGGTGGCTCTGCCGGTTCAAAATGATACTGTAATATCTGATAGTACTTAAAGCATGCACTTGCACTTGTTGAATCTTTTTGACATTTTGTTGTCGGTTGTCACCCATAACTGTTCAAGTGTTGGTGTTTTGCGAACCTGGGTGTACTGCCCCGAAACTTCTGGCGTGAAATCTCAACAGTTCGAAAGGCCTGTAATGGGAGAGCGTCCTTCCTTGACCAAATCTGTTGTCACTCTTCTGCTCCAGCAGCGCGCTTGTTTTGAGGGCCGGTTTCAAGGTCACACAGGCCGCTTGTGACTGAGACGCTTTGTATTGATTTCCTGGTGCAGGCCAAAGCATGTCGGACCTCTGCTTTGGTGACTTGGCTGCCCCAGCTTCGGATTCACACAGATTGACTGTTGTGGGGCCAGCGGACTTCAAGAGTGGGTGTTGAGTATCCTATTGTTTAGAAGGTATGGCAATTATGAGAGAACACATGTCTAGGTATGTCTAGGTCACTTCAAAATGCAAAACTACCAGCTACCAGATGGATGCGCTCTTCCAGGCTCAGGACAACCAAGCGAGTTCCCCCATTACAAGAAGTACTCTTCGTGTCACCATGCGGTGGCACTTCTCACGCGCTGAGTTGTTGCGTGCCTTGTCTGGTGGCTCCGGCTGCGCTGATTCTCGCACCCGGAGGTGCTTCAGAGATGCCGGTCACATCGCAGTTGAATGCACCAGGATAAACTACAGTTTTGTTGCAAGTCTGATTTTGGATCACCTTATTTGTTATTACCTATTCTTCCAGATGTGACAATGCAGCTATCATGCTGGAGGCTCCCCGTACTTTACTTCCTGCGGCACTCTCGAGTCCCCTTTGTCCATATTGAGGTGACCCTTATGACAGCGCGTGACAAGATTGATTTGAGCAGATAGGTGTTGCCATCCAAAATAGGATTGCAGTGATCAGGTATGTCATCTCCAAGCCGACAAGAGGTTCTACTACTGAAGAATTCTTCCATCAGCATACGTGCTTGTAGCAATTGGCCTTGGGCTGCCTTGGCCCACCAGCCCGCGCTATGCAGGTTTCTGGCGAAGGGTGCAAGTGAAAGAGGTGCCAAATTGGAGTGTGGTTTGAGCTCTGGTTTCAATCCCCCCTTCGGTTTGCTTCGAAATTGGAAAACCATCAAAAATCCGTTTAGATGCTTTACGCTCATTGGCGAGTGGATGCACTTTAAGCCTTTGAGCCTTTGCTCGGAGATGCCACAGGAGTTTCAGGCTTGATGTTATATTTTGAGGCAGTCCCCTCGCCACAGTAAGTGAACAAGAGGTCGTTTGAAGATGTTTGTCTCCGCTTGTGTGTTGGCATGGATTCCATCCATAAACTAGGCAAGAACCCAAGGTAGGGCCTTAGGGTCTGAGGATTCCTGAAGGATCAGTCCAAGTACCAAACCGGAAGTCATAGGAAGTCAATAAAGAAGCCCCATGCTCACAAAACCATGTAGATATATATATATATATGTATGGTCCATGGCAGATTCCACATTTGTTATGTGCTCCCAAACCTAGTTCTACCGAAATCTATACCAGACTGCTCTGACTTGAGGCCTTGACCACACCCTTTTTCTGGGACATGTTCGGCAAACTATATACTAGTCGTGCCCGTCATTGGAAAACATATGTGAGCCAGAGACATGTCTACTCTACTTCAACGAACATGCTCATCATGCTCCAACTTTGCTTGTGGAACATTGAAGGAGCGACCCTGTGAAGCGACTGCTCTTGAAGAGCTCCTTAAAGCCTCGTTTAGCAGCCTGTGATAGAGCCGTGCACCAGGTGAGTTGGTGGAGCCAGGAACCAAAGAGAACAGTAAAGAGGCAGATCTTTGGGGGGTGAGGTTGAAAGAGATGGGATGATTGAAAGAGAATGAAGCCATCTCAAGCGCAAAAATGTACCTTGCCTTGTTTCAGTCCACATGCCGATGTCACGCAACAATAAATCCCCCCAAGCGTTCACCCCCCTGCCTGCCAGAAGTTGCCAAAGTGACTTCCTCCCAATCACATTTTGTGAAACGCTGTTGAGTGCTGATGAGGCTTCATACAACACAGAACAATAAGGACTCTGCTAAATAAGGCCTTAACAGTGAAACAACACATATATACGGTATTTTGACCTGTGAATTCTGAGCTGAGCTTGAACCACGCAAGAGAATCAATAACCCCAAACCCTTTCGGTTTTCCCGGGAGAGAACGTTGTTTTTTGCGATGAAGTATATACGTCCAGGATCCTCCCGAGGTCTGCTTCACAAGTGAGGGGGACTGATGTCAATGACAAATGAGCGGGTATTGCTGGGAGGAACAGTATATATTTGAGCTTGTTGCTCTGGAATTGTACTACATTTGGATTCTAGAAAGAGCCAGTCCTGGTCAACTGCTCACAAATGACCAACCAGGATTCTCGAAAGAAGTTCCTGAACTTCAGTGGCTTTGGGTGAAGCGCCATCCTCAAAGAGCTGCCCAAGCCGAGTTCCCGATGATTTCATCGAATCCTATTGTTCATCCATGTTTCATCCTCCCAAGCGCCAAGCGAGTCCGGCCGTTGGGGACGGCGACCTCGGAGACCCGATGGAGGAAGCCTTGCGACGGGCCCAACACGAGAGGTGGCGCTCAAGGGCCTTGCTCCGACAGGCCGAGGGTGAGCGGTGGGAGGGAGAGCTGTCGGAAAGTGGGGATCTTCAAGGCTGTGGCCGGAGACCAGGATTTGAGGGATGATTTACACGGATAAATTTACTATATATATATATATTACATGATATTACTATCATTAGAAGCGACTAGTAGCAAAGGGCGCTACTAGGCAGAGGCCATCGCTATGAGGTTGGAGGCCATCGCTACTAGTAGCAAGAAACTACTAGCAACAAAGGGCAATCGGGGTACCACCAGATTTGGCCCTAGTTTCATCGCTTGGCCTTGTCACCCTGTCGCCCTTGTTGGATATCACCATATCTGAAAGGAGTGGCAGGCTGGTTGGTGGCCTGTCGTTCCGAATCCGCCCAAGTTCTACGCTCTCCAAAGCTGACAGGCATCCGTTGCTCGTCCAGCTTCTGCAGAGGAAATTTTAGTGGCTTGGGAGTGGTAGTTGTTCTGCGGCACTCACGTTTCTGTATCGCATGTTTGGGATCTTGTCTCCAACCTCATGATTCCTAGCAAACAATCTTGGGGCTGTGATTGCAGACACGCTATTTGCAGCAGCTTCCAACAAGTAAAAAAAGCAAAGAGCCTGAGGTAAGCAACTGAAGCCAACAGCCTCGGACGCCACCATGGCTCCGAGGCGGGCGGAAGCCAGCACCGGGCACGTCTTGCTGAACGCCCCAGGAGACATCATCTCTTTGTCCGGTCTTGGCTGTTATTTTTGTCTCTCAAACCGTCAGAATCCGTCAGACCCAGAATGGCCCAGAATGTCCGGCTTTGCAGAAAGAAACTGCTGTCAAGTTTCTCGTCGACTCTGAGAGATTGTACTCCAGTGTAACAGAAAGGACCAGACGTGAATCACTTGACTTTTGTGGTGCATGGATGGTGCAGACCCCACGCAGGAGCCAAGCTCAGCTGAGGCGACGATGATGGGTGTAGTCCGTCGAAGTCCGCACACTGAGAGCCGAAAGCTGTCGCTGGAACTATGGAAGAAACTGACAAGAGCATGACATGCGAGAACCACTGGCAGTTCTGCTGAAACGCTGGTAATTGCCCTGGATTGCAGGAAGACAGTTAATCAGATGACCACAACTTGTAGGAAACGCAAACGCTGTATATATCGCCTGCAGTACGCAGCCAAATGATGCATGCTGCATGCCTCAGAAAAAATGGCTGAGGCTGAGGGCACAATCCTGTCGTGTTGGGTTCTGGCAAGTGACCGTTGGAGAGAAATCATGGATGGTAGATGAGGAGACAACCAACCAGGTTGCATTCCAGAGTGTAAGTCAGTGTAAGTATAATATCACAGAGTATTGTAATACTGCACAAGAACGGTGCAGTACAAACACACATTTCTTTGCAAAAGTCAACAGTCAACGTTGTGGTTTTAACCTGCACCATTGTCGGGCCCTGTTCTCACCATCGCTGACTGCCTCGATGGGCATTGTCATGATCGGTATTACGCAGGAAGCATACAGTATGAACATCCTGCGTGGAACCAGCAGGTATTTCTTAAGTCATTCTGAAATCCAGACCGTTTGCATCCCGATGAGAAACAGCTAAATCTGGATTCGGATCGTTTCGTTGCTCAGGGTTTGATTCAGGCCGAGCTGAGCTCAGTTCTCACCCAACACGGCATGCAAGGAAGATGGCCGGTGAACACGACCGGCCAGCGAAGCTCAGAAAAGGTCCGCTGTGTCCAGTCTGTGTCTACCACAGCCACGTGGCCAACATACACGTGATGCTACTGTAGCACTGTAGCAGCGAGCAGTGTTGTCGGAAGGTTCATTTGTTCATTGAGTTGACCGAAAGACCACTACAAATGTCTTATGTACCTTGTACATTGCTGTACGTCAGAGTACTGGGTCCCGGTCCCCTTTGCGGTCACACCCTTTGGGCTTTTCAAGCTGTTTGGGGTCCACCAGGCTTCAACCAGCCTTGTCTCAACACCCCAGTCCCAGCTCGAGGATCATGAAGAACGAGAGATAAAGGCTGGTTTAAACCCGCTTCCAGAAGCGTGGTGAAACTGTGAAACGGGCAGAAGTTTCACCTGGAATGGAGACCTGATGAGACCTGCATCCACTCTTTATGTTTGTTTGACTTCCAATGTTCTGTGCAATCTATATAACTCAGATGGCGAACCATCGCACCCAGCACAACTTCGACTTTCGGCAGCTTTCAGCCTAAAAGTGCCAGATTCTGGGTCTGGCTATGCACTTCCCACCGAAGTTGGTGAATCCTGGCATGCATTGGATCTACCTTCGGCTTGAGAACGGGCAGTGCAATCAAGCAGAGCTTTGAGCGGAGCTCTGAAGTAGAACCCTTAGTTACAATTTCCGACTACTGTGGCAACCGTCGTTTGTCCAGAGCATTTCTTTCTGCCCTGATTCAGCGGCAGTTGTATACCGTTGCTTTGCAATGTTGCTTTCCGCAACACTTGACAAGTAAACACTACCAAAACATGGAAACATCATGCCACTTCATAGTCACGGCAAACCCGCAGACCCCTTCAGCCGTCCAGAATTCGCCAAAGAGTGTCGGATATCTCAGAACGATCCTTTTGTGCCGCCAGGCCAGCGAAGAAGGCACCATTGATTGCGGGCTCGCTGGTATGAACGGCGTTTGCTCTGGAAAGCTGTGAAGGTTTGTTAACGTCCCTCAGTAGTAGTCTGAGGATGCCCAAATTGAATTGGAGGGGTATTTAATTTTGGCTGTTTTTGCATTATATGTTTGGACCTTTTATTGTTTTTATGTGCTTGTGTTGCTTTTCCTTGCTTCTCGCTGCTTCTGTGCTTTGCCTGCTTTTCTGTGCTTGTTTTACTTTTCCTTGCTTTTCATTGCTTCTTTGTGAATCCTCTTTCTGTCCCTGCTTTTGCTGCTTTTTGTGCCTTTTTTCTTGCTTGGTTTGTTTTTCCTGCTGTTTCTCCTGGTTGGCTTTCTTTAAAGGCTTACGCCTGACAGCCGGGCGCCGGCCCAACACAGGGAGAAAGTAAGATCTCTCTCTGTCTCTCTCTCTCTCTCTGTCTTGGTCCCTGTCTCTTTGTCTTTGTCTCTGTCTCTGTCTCTCTCTCTCTCTCTTTCAGACTGTATGGGGCCGATGTTAACACATCTTGAAGCTATCTTGGCCCATCTGGGGCCTAAAAAAGCCATATTTGGGACCTATGCTGGGTCATCTGGAGGGCCTCTGTCAGGTCATTTTGGAGCACATTTTCCGCCATTGATGTTGGCGCGTGCCCGACACCCACGAAATGTCGATTACGCCTGTCCGCGCGCCGCGCGTTACCGACACCACCCTTGAAAAGCACAGTGTTTTTGCATGTCGTGACCCTTTCGCCACCACGAAAATTTTGGGCTTGCCACCCCCACAAAACACAGTAAAACACAGTGTTTTTTGTACCTCACACACACAAAACACTGTAAAGCACGTAGGTCGGAGGTGAACGGGGGGTGAACCGTTGGTGGTCGGCGCTCGGGGGCGTCGCTCCATAACCTTCAGTTACACCGGAGGTCCTCCGGGCGCAATACGGGCTGGCCCAGGGGGCGCCCGGATTTAAAGGCTTACGCCTAACAGCCGGGCGCCGGCCCACTAGGGTCTGTGTAGGGCTGGGTCGGGTGCACGCGCAGCTATCGGGGGCGTACTGGGCCTCGGTGGGGCCTATGTTGGGCCTATGTTGGCCTAGGTTGGGCCTATGTTGGCGTATGTTGGCCCCATGTTGGCCTATGTTGGCCCTATGTTGAGGCTATGTTGGGCATATGTTGGCTATGTTGGGCCTATGTTGAGGATATGTTAGGCAATTTAAGTCGTCTGGAGGGCATCTACCCACAAAATGTCGATTATGCCTGTCCGCCCGGCGCGCATTACCGACAAAAACCCTTGAAAAACACAGCGTTTTTGCATTTCTCCATCTTCGCCGGGTGGCATTTCAGTATGCGCAATAAACCCTGTAAAACACAGTGTTTTGTGTATTTCACACATTCGAAACACCGTAAATTACAGCGACTTCAGTGGGGAGGAGGCCCCCCCGTTTTCATGACGAGGGTCGGCGGCAGGGGGGGCGACCGTATATCCGACAAGGGGCCCAAGGGGCCCGAAGGCCGTGTCCTTGCCGTAGGCCATCTCCCCTCTCCGAACAAGAGAGAGGGGAGTCCCCCCCCTGCCGCCGACCCCTGCACGATATTGTGTTTTACAGTGTTTTCTGCTTCTTCCACTTTTCCGGCTTTGTGGCTCAAGATGGGTCAACATGGCCCAACATAGCCTCAAATAATGCTGGAAATGCGTGCTGCACCGGTGTACTTCGTCTGCATCGTGGGCGGATGCTGGGCTAACATGGGCCACATAGCCTCAACATGGGCCAACATAGCCCCCAAGATGGGCCAACATGGCCCCAAGATGGGCCAAGATAGCGCCAAGATGGGCCTACATAGCCCCCAAGATGGGCCAACATAGCCCCAACATAGCGACAAGATGGGCTAGCATAGCTCCCAAGATGCCCAGATAGCCCCCAAGATACGCCAACATCGACCCAAGCTGGGCCAAGAAAGCAACAACAACAACAACGAGCCACCACTACCACCAACGACAACTACAACAACAACTACCGCGGAAACAACACCAACCACAACAGCAACACGAGCCACAACGACAACTACAATGACAAGCACACTACCACGACTGCAACAAGCCCTTTGCTTGGGCCCCTGGCCGGCTGTCGGGCGTAAGCCCTTAAAAAATTAACCCTCGGTTACCACCGAAGGCCCTCTGGGCAGGGCACGGGCGCATGGCCGGCGCCCGGATTTATGAAGCTTACGTTTGACAGCCGGGCACCGGCCCACTTGGGTCTGTGTAGGGCTGGGTCCTGTCTCTCTCTCTCTCTCTCTCTCTCTGTCTCGCTGGGTGTCGCGGTCTTGCTTTATGTCTGTTGCCCTCGCTTTCCGTATCCCTCTCCCTGGTGCTGTCTCTGCCTATTCTCTCTATGTCCGTTTCGCTGTTTCTTTCCCTCCCTCTCTCTCTCTGTCTGTCTATCTGTCTGGTCTGTCCGTCCGTCCGTCCGTCCGTCCGTCCGTCCGTCCGTCCGTCCGCCCGCCCGTCCGTCCGTCCGTCCGTCCGTCCGTCTGTCTGTTTGTCTGTCTGTCTGTCTGTCTCTCTCTCTCTCTCTCTTCTCTCTCTCTTCTCTCGCTTCTCTCTCTTCTCTCTCTCTCTCTCTCTCTCTGTGTTTTTGAGACTGTGTGGGGCCTATATGGCCACAACTTGAGGCAATCTCGGCCCATCTTGGCCAGATCCTATGTAGGGCCATCTGCCGACTATGTGTCCCATATCTGGAACGTATGTTGGGTCATCTTGGGATCCTCCATCAGGTCATCTTGGAGGACATTTTCCGCCATTGATGTTGGAGCGCGCCCGACACCCACGAAATGTCGATTCATCCTGTCCGCGCGGCACGCATAACCGACACCACCCTTGAAAAGCTCAGCATTTTTTACATTTGTCGACCGGATTCGGGCGGGGGTCGACCGGGGGTCTCTCTCTCTCTCTCTCTGAGACTTGGTGGGGCCAATATTGAGCAAAGTTAAGCTATCTGGTGCGCATCTTGGCCCTAGGTTGGGCC